ACCCGGCAATCTTTTAGGTTTGTTGCTCCTGCTGCAGCGTGCAGGGGGCTCAGCCAGAGTAGCTCTCCAGGCGGTGCTGTTGCCATTGATTTCGTGTCTTCGGTGGCGGCATGTGCAATGAAGCTATTTCACACAGGAAGACGAGACAATGTGGTTTGGGACCTGCGCCGGGGGCAAACGTAGGGTTCAGGGAGTGTGCCCACCTTACGACTGGTGCATCCCCAAACTGGCTGGTTTAGCTTTCACGCAGAGAGGTCTCTTGACTTCGCCGAATTGGGTTGATGGTCTCGACGCGGTCGACAACGCTGTCTACCCTACACTTGACCCTGGGATCAAACCGTTCTTGCTGCCAGCCTTGCGGCGCGACAAGTCTTCTGCCTGCGCATCGTCCTTTGTCAGGAATGCAGCCATGTCCTATCACGCCTGGGCAGAGCTTTTCCGCGTGTGCAGCTCGGTGCAGGACAGGATGCGGATCAGTTCACGTGCAACAGCGTCAGGCGATTCGTGCCGACTGCGGCAGGACTGCTCCCACTGGATCCGGAGCAAGCGCAGGCCCTTGGTTACTGGCAAGACCATCGGTGGAGATAGGCAACAGCCCGCTGAACGCAGCCCGGGCGACCTTTTCCATGAGCAGGCGCGAGAGTGGAGTAAAGGTTTTTGTCACGGCGCTTATCCAGCTGGTGTCTGTGGCAGGTCTTTTCGAGATGATGCGGCGAGCTCTTCAGGATGTGCCTGCCAATTTCCAAAAGTTCTGGAAGCACCCGTCCTTGACCTGGAGCCAGCTGGGTCGGTGCAAGCTGTTGCAAGCGGACGTGGCCGCTTTGTTGGGTCGTTTGGGGACAGCTTTGGAACCGGGGGGCATTCACAATCAGAAGCCTTGGCCCGATCACCTCTTACAGATCCTGGATCCTTTGGGGCAGGCAGGAGTTCAGCGGAGCAAGACAAGGCGTGTTGGCAGACACCTTCACTTGAGCCAGGCACGCAGAGCACGCGCGTCAACAGATGGCCACTCACTGGCAGAGCGTGTGGATTCCTCAGTCTCTTCTCGGTTGGCCTCAGTGGACGGGTCGTGGATTCACCCTGCGGATTGATCCCAAGGCCAACCTGCTCAATCAAATGCTGCCACGCGTGTTGACATTCACACGCGAGTTTTGGCACCCCCTTGACGGTGATCATGCAGGTTCTGCTCAGGCGGTGGACGGCTTCCAGTCGAATCATACGAGGAGTTTCCTTAGCCTGGAAACAGGAGGAGTGGAGAACATTGACCCCTGATGAAAGGGCAGTGACTCATGGACTACCTCTGGATTCTGTGGGCGGGTCAACCCTCAGGAACATTCCAGAAAACAAGCAAATGCAGATCAGCGACAGTTGGGTTGGCAATGGTTTCCGCGTACCTTCTGGTCCTGGTCTTGTGGGCCCTGGTCGCGCATCAAGTTTGCCTACTGTGCAATGTGTCTCTGAGCAGCACTTTTAGACGCACATTCATGGGTCTCCTTTCGACAGGTACTTGTTGGCGTCTCTCCCAGGTAAGCTTACACATGACCAGTTTGTGCGCGAGATTTCATCCTTGTTTGCCGACTTCCCCGGGAATGACAAAGCCTCGTGGCATAAATCGCATAAATGTTTGCGCGGGTGCGACTGGGACGTTCTATTTACTTATAGAGCATTCCTCATCCCTTGCGGTCTGGATGAGTTTTCCCAAGGACCACCTTGGACAGGCCAGCGAAACAGGGCTCTGCTACAAGCAGCAATCGCGGTGCAGCGCGCGCCAAGAGATTCCAATCGAGGCCTAGATCACTTGCCCCCGCCAGGACTCACGAAGGAGGACCACATATCTCAGGCAGGGCAAGTTCAGTCTCCGTTCGTCTTGGGCATCGCGGTGGATGTTGACTTAGAGTTCACGGAATGGGCATTGGCCATTTGGGGTTCTCTATACTTCCTTGGTGGCTATTCGCCCAGTCGTTCACGCCTTTGATGAGGTGCAGTGATCAGCCTTTCCACTAGGAACCCCATGGCCTTGGCAGTCTTCACAGTCCTGCTTAAGTGGCCGGATACTACACAACCTCTGAGGTACTTAACGGGCTTCGATGTGGTGGGTGATATCGAGCATTCCAAAGTCTTCAGACGTGGCAGTGCCAGCTCAGGTGGAGCAAGAGAACTTTATGGGAGAAGCAGCCAGCCAACAACTTCATTGATGAGCTCCCTGCCTCCAGGCCACCTAAGGATTCGGTCATCGTCTGGAAGCTCACCATGGAGGAGAAGGACTAGAACTGGTGTACAGGCCCGTTTACCAGGGCAGCGACTGTCAATTTGGCACGGGGGGTTGGAGACCGGTGCCAAGGTTCGATATCACCCAGCCGCAGCCATGCGGAAAACACAGACTCTTAGATGATGATGGTCGTTGACCATCTCTACCACCGGCGTCGACATGCTTCCAGTCTGTGTGCGCCATTTGGCGCAACAGGTGTTGCGGGTTCAGGGCTTCTGAATGTGCAGCCCTTCCACCTTGGGTTTTCCCCTACTTTGACTGTCATGGACTTTTGGGATGCATACCGAGGATGCCCAGTGCGAGAAGAGCAGAGGGGGTGTGCCGTGTACTCCACTCAGGACAGGGCCTGGCGGTTTTTCGCGTACACCTGACTGCTCTACGATCTTTCCTCGGCAATACTATCTTCCAACAAACTACCCACCTTATTGGTGGCCGCTTCCAGGAGACTCCTGGTCATCTCCTTGCGGAGCATATTTTGACGACATCTTTGACCTCTCCATCAGATACATCGTCAAATAAACAATGGAGGCGCTGCTCCACATTCTCAACTTGTCGGGGGCACCCCCAGACTCAGGATCTTTCGCCCACTAGGGTACCTCGGAGCATCTATCGACTTCACTGAGGTCTGGTTCATGTGGACCCACGTCGGCTTCAGTTTCCAGAATCGTTAATGCAGTCCTGACACCAGCCCAAGCAGCAAAACTCAGAGGGCAGGAAGGATGCATGGGAAATGATGTGGGAGGCTGGCATTGAGTTTTCTCAAGTCACGTCAGTATCAACAAGACCATGACACAGCTGTTAGCGTTGACTAGCTTGCAGAGCTTCAGTTGTTGTCTCCCATTGTGCGCGAAGGATCCCCCAAACGCATCCTGTCTTGTTTAAGCCAGCGCGACCCATCTCATCTACTCGGATGCCAGCTTTGAGAGTGATCAAGCCACAAATAGTCTTCGACCATAGATCTAGACCTGTGGGACTTGTGGGACAGACTGTCAAGATCACCTCGACATGGATGTCTACGTGGTTGCCCTCAGCCCCACAGATATTTCCAGCATGGCACACTTGTGCCATTCAACCTGCCAGAGATCCTGCGCAACAGGGATGTCCTTTGGTTTGTGGGTAACAAAGCAGTGGCCTCGGCATGTATCCGGGGATCCATTGGGTCCTCGGACGTCGATGCTGTTGTTCGAATCTCGCACTTGCTACTCCATGCCCTTTGGATATCGCGTCTGTGGTTCGACGGGATTAACAGCGATTCCAATCTTGCGGATGGGGTATCAAGAGACGGATTGGATGATCAATGGACTTTGAATCTCGTGTTCAAATCTTGAACCTGCTGACGACCTTTGGGCTCAGGGGATCAGATTTGATTCTACCAAGGTACACTATGGTGTAGCATTGAGAGTGTCTCATCCCTGCATAGAAAGAAGAGAGAACGGTGCATGCTGCTTTGTGCTGCTATAAGACTCTTCATTGTTTTCAGTTTTCATTCTTTTCTTCATAGTTTGCATCAGGTTCGATGAGTTTTCATCACATGTCATCAGTTTCCATCATGTTTTTGGATCGATTTTCTTCATGCATCTTTATATTTCATCATGTTTCATTGTTTTTCATGATTTTCATTCATGACCAGTTACTGATCACTTGCATGATTTTCCATCAATACATGAGCTGTCTAATAGTTAATTCTCATCAGCCGCGCCACCTTCTTCAATGGTTTGCAAATGGTGGGGGCTGCGCCCCTCCAACCCCCCGGGTCTTTCTAACGCAAAGCCCTAGCATGTTTAATGTGTAGAGCAGAACTTGCAGATGCCACGAATATTGAGAGGGTTGTCAATTCTGAGCAAAATTCTGAGGACGCTCCACACAAGAGCGTTTGGAGGCGCCGCAAACACTGAAAGTGTTGTCGATTCTCCACGCGAGAGAGTCTGGAAGCGCCGCGAATACTGAGAGGGTTGTCGATTTTGATGAGCGTCCGGAGGCGCTGCAAACATTGAGAGGACTGTAGATTCCACCTCAAAATCGGAGGACGCTCCATGCAAGCGTCCGGAGGCAAGGCAAAGTCTGACAGGGCCTACAGGCTTGTCGATTCAAAAAAATTCTCAGGACGCTCCACGCTAGAGCGTCAGGACACGCCGCGCTGCGCACAGTCGTGGGTTTTTGGGAATAGGAAGCTCTCGCGTAGGGCATTTCCCACGTTTTTTTCAGTTTGATTCACATTTTGTTTTTTGATCGCCGATTTTGATTTGCTTTTGATACTTACTTCATTTTGTTGATCACCCGGTTTCAGGCATGCAGCCCATTTTAGCGACATTCAGCACGAGAGCTTCGTGCCTGGCCTGACTGGCCGTGAAGCGAAGAGACTTGGAGTGATGTAGCTCTGAGCATGGTTTGGTAGCTGATTGGTCCTAGTGTTCATTTGCGCACTTACTTCCCCTGACCGCCAAAAAATCAGCACAGAGGATACGGCCGGATGCGCGGAACGCTGTAGCTGACCTCGATGTTAAGACAGCCGCACCAGCGGCTCCAGCTTCGGATCCAATGGACAGCGAGCTGCTCTGGAGCCTTGTCTACAACCTACTGGCAAGGCAACCTTGCAACAAAATCGCTGTTGCATTTCACCAAGGAAAGGCGTCAGCATCCGCCTCAGTTGAAGACATAAACAGACAAATTCATGTGTTTCGATCAATTCTAAAGGCGTTGCCTGCAGCTTCTTCGTACAGCAACTCGAGGTATGTTCAATGCGATGATGTGGGGAGGCTGCTGAACGCCTGCAGCTTCCTGCCTCGCCATCGGCTGTTAATCTTGGGCATGAAATTGTCTCTGGCAGGTAGCATTGTGTCATCCAAAGCTGGCATAGATGCCCTGGCATCTGCCGGTTTTGAGGACGGATGCTGCCTTTCCATCTTGCGATACTGGAGGCGTAGCCTTGCACGGAAGGAGCCAGGCGTGCTTTTTGGAGCGCTGCGTTTTACTGTTGCCACGCTGTGCTTGTCGCCCTGGCTGTTCTCTTCCAGCTCTCTGCAGAGCACGCCGCGGCCTTGGACCGTCCCCGCAGTGTTTTTGTGTTTTGCGGATGTGGCTGCTTCAGGCTCGGTTCGCTGAAGGTTGGGGCCTTCTACGGAGCAGGTGCAGTTCTGGCTGCCTTGGCTTAAAGTGCTTGGGTGTGTATGGCAGGGTATGTCGCAATGTTTCTGGCCTTGGGCTTGGGGACCACAGCAGCGAAGACCTCCTTCTTCGGCTCGCTTCAGGCCGTTGTTTGTGCAGGCGGCGCTTGACTGGTTGACAGAATCTTGCAGCACCTTTTGCGGCACTGAGTTTGCATCGAACCTTTGAAGGCATTACATGCGTCATTGCTGGGCGCTTGAACATGGGAACCCTCACCGCAGCAGTGATGGCGGTCACAGGTGGCAGTGGTAGTTGCTGTGCACTGGATGCCGTTTGGGTGTCATCCTGCCAGGAGTCGCAATCCTTGAGTTCGCTGGCGGTGGCTCGTTGGATTTGGGTTTCGGGGACCTGGTCTGTAGTCTGGTCCCGCTCAGCTTCGGAGCAGGGTGGTATGTGCTTGGCAGAACGATGATGCTTGGCAGAAGTAGTGGCAAGCAAGTATGTATGCATGCATCGGGAGAATGTGGTCTCGTATTACTTAGTGCAGGAAAGATCATCCGCAAGACACGCTGCCCTCAACAGCGATCCAGCTTGCAATGACCGCTGCAGCTAACGTTGGATGGCTGACCTGGCAACGGGGCGGGGACGTCGTCGAGCTGGGCACGCAGATCCCGCAGTTGCTCCAGGTGCCCGGCCTCTTGGGACCTCTTTGCTTTTCGGCCCTTGTCGGCAACGCCGCGGACTTAGTCTTGTGAGTTTGCAAGAATGATATATGCCCGCGGACTCGTAGCCGCAGCCATCTTATCCAAGGTGCTTACAATGTGGCTGGCCAACGAGGCCCTGCGTCGGGTCAAAGGCTCTGATGTGGCGCTCATTGCCGCATCTGAGCCGCTCTGGGCAGCCGTGGCTGCCATGGCAGTTCTTGGTGACGCACCTCGCCTGCCTTGCTTTTCAATCTTTCCATCAGACACGGAGTAAACAGGTGCAGATGGGCATGCCGTGCATCCCAGGTGCTGCAGCCCCACGAGATTGTTGGAGGACTAATTGCTTGTTTGAACAGCAGTTTCTGCCGTGGCGTCAGTTTGTGAGTATCAGGAGCCTTGCTGATTGGAGCTGTTGTCACTGGGTCGAGTGTAGCAATCGTTTTCACTCTTTTTTATGCCTTTGCAGAAGAGCACTTCAAAAGGTTTCTCGTTTTTGAACCTGTTGTGCAATCACAACCCAGGTCTGCAATGAGAATCCTGTCAGCCTTAGATTTGTGTGGGTATTTGTTGCAAGTTGACTTGTACGGGGGCGGTGGCTTGTCATGTTCGGTGATTTAATTTGAGGACCTGGGAGCAAGAACCAGACGCTGGCGCTAGTGCCTTCGTCTCCGTTTAGGTCCTGTTAGATGAGAACCTACAGACTCTAATTGTGACGTGTGCAGCTGGCTGCCAAAGCCTAGCAAGGCGTAGATGCCCCGAACTCCAGTCCACTTGCTTCTGGCCGAGCAGCTCGGATGCACCTTTGCAACCCCTCCCGGATCGGATCAAACTCTGCAAAAGGGTAACGGACGCAGAAGAAGGGAAGCCAAGGCGAGATTGCCCACTCCGTACCTTGCTCGGCTGGTAGCGGTGCAACTCCGCAAGGGGCCGCACCCTCAGTGCTTTGTCTTGTCAAAAAACGCTGCAAACCACGTCTTTCCTGCAGGACCAAGCTGGTGCTGCCCACCATACGGGCAGCCAGCCCATCACATCCCCGGGATACCCGCTAACGATGAATCTGAATCATGAGACGTGGGCGGCAGCATTTCCCTTTTCCAGGTAAGCCTTCCTTGGGCTCCCGCTTGCCGGCAATGCTAGCAGCCTTCGGGCTTCCAAGCCCCGCTTTGTGAATAATATTGTTTTTTTTCAAATCGGCAGACGTGAAGGGAGGGGGCGGAGACAGTATGCCTACAAACCCCCCAAAAGCAAAGAAAGTCCCACAGACAGTAGTCGGCCCTCGAAAGCAGGAAAGAAAGAACAAGATGCACTATTGGGAAATCGGTGTTGGGCTCTGCTTCATATAGTCAAAGTGTACAGAAGGTGTTCGTGTGATAGGTCTAGGGGGATGGGCATGAGCCACCATGCGCACGTGCAGCCTGATTTGATTCGATTAGAGCTGGTGCCGATGCTGCATACAGCCCGGTGCCAACCTAACGAGCGCAAACGAACAGCAATGCATTGTGTTGCATCCAGCATTGAAGCGCCGGCGTCCCTGCTCGGGTTCTGATATTCTTGACCTCACCTTTTTTTGAAGTGAGCAAAACAAGGCCTGCCACAGCAACGCTTGGCGGATGGCCTGCAATACCCTCGTAGTTCTAATACTAGAAGTTCCAGCTTTGCGGCTGTTCTGTGCAAAAATCTTTGAGCTTCTGCTTCGTCCTTCGGTAGAAGCCTCCGCACTGGCCGCGTGCAATCTTTGATCATGCTTGATCGTGTATGTTCGTGGAGCAGTATCCTGCCCCTGGCAAGACTACTGTCGCACCTGGTCGACCTGGGGGAAGAAAAGCTGCCTTGCAGGTTGACGGGGTGTGGCCGGCGATGTCCGGCAATGCGTTGCACCGTGCCAAGAGAGCCCGTCCAAGATTGGAATGAAGCTCGAAATCGCCAGCCGCGAGTTTGAAAGCTTTGGAGAAAGAGGGCCAGGGCATGAGATTCCTTCTTCAGGACCAAGTGTACGGGAAGTCTTCCCTGATGCAAGGCTAGCACGGACTCGGGTGCGAAGTCGCCAAAGCCTTCTGTGACCGGACCTTTGATGCTCGCGTCTGGCTCTGACACCCAGGCTGGGAAGGTGCGAGTGTATCCTTTTTCGTGTGCTTTAGCTGTAACCACTCATGCATCAAGAAGGGTTGCTTGCTTTTGTGGTGTTTGGCTGCCTGTTCTTTTCAAAGTTGCTGGAGGTCAGCATTCCTGACCTGGAGGATCGGTTCAGGCAGAAGGCACCCTTTGTCTATGTCGTTGTTTGGCTGATGGCGGCCCGCATCACTGCATGCAGGCGGAAGCGATCCAGTCTTCAACTGACGACCTAGTCAACCAGGCATCTCATTTAGTCCTGATGCCATTGCGGGAGCTTTGCCGGTCGAGCTGAGACCTACAAAGGTTTCTGACTCGTTGAAGAGCGGCTTCAACAACGCTATTCAATCAGCTCCTTGATGCCAACTGCCACAGCTGGCAAGTCTGACTCGAGAGTAATGCCACGTGCATTGTCAGCTGCGCCCTGTGGCTTGTCGCTTCCGATTGCACTTCTATCATTTAGGTGGAGAAGAAGGCCGACAGCACCGCCACTGTAGCTGAGAACGCCGTCGAGCTTGCTAACTTGTTTGGGAAGTTTGTGAGAAACTGGTAGAGATGTACATTTGTATTTTCTTAAAAGGAGGTAACAGCAGTGGCCCCCCGTCCAACTGGCAGCCAGGCGGGTGATTTTTCCTCAGCAGAGCCATGGCTGCACCAGCTTTGGGAAACGCTGGCAGAGTTCTGTCCAAGTGCATGTTATGCCGTTATGCTCTACAGAGTCAAGCAGCATCAGCCGCCTGCCCAGGTGCAGCAGAAGATCCAGGACCAGGGCTCCTCACTCGCCCAGCAAGTGCACGTTCTTTGAGATATCTGGAGAAGTCCTAGATGTGGGATTTCCTGACTGCCTCATGCTGCAGATGCTGTAGGAGCTGGAACGAATGCAGAAGGCCCGCGTGCGCAGCACTGGCTTTGCAGTTTTTTCTGGTGACCTCGCAGTGGTGTCCTGTTCTCCAGGCTGGCAAGTCATCTCCAGCTCCAGCTTCCTTTGCGGAGGCAGTAGTGAGATGTAGTGATTTGTGCCGCTGATGGAATCCGTGCCCTTCTGGTGAGAGCACAGGCGAAAGGGGCCTCAGTCTTGACCTGAGCCATGGTAGGTGTTTCAGCAACTTGTGGCAGCTTCCACGCTCAGAGGTCTCGTCCCTGCTGTTGCCCTTCTTCCTGGTGGCTGGAGCTGCTGGTGGCTTCTATCTGCGAAAGAGGGTGGGATCGATTTCGACAGATGGGTGTGCAGTTGCCTGCAAGTTGCCTGACTCTTTTGTTGCAGACTGCTCGAGACGACCTCGAGTCCGCTGGGAGCTTTGTCAACCTTTGGGGTTCAATCTGCACAGCAGTACAAGCAAATGGGCAAGTTGACTGTCAGGTCTACCACATGCAGGTGTGAGCCCTTGCCGAGCCACTGCCCCAAGGCCGAAGCACTGTTAGAAGCCCGCCTGGAGATCATAGATTTCAGCATGTTGATTACCTGGAGTCTTTGGATGTCAGAAGGTTACGAGCTGCGTGAGTTAGCCCGGCTTATGCTCTGCAACTGGGACAAAACTTCTTGATTTCAGAAGTTGCTATGTGCGCAGAAAGAGGCAAAGACAGGTTTGTCTTCTTTGTCCTTGATCAGATCAGCGCTCCAATTCGAGTTTGTCTTTTGCCAATTGTGGCCTTTTGAGTGCAGGCATACCGCAATTGCTGCATGATACCAAGAATAAGTAGCACAAGACTGATTCGTTTTGCCACCAGCAACTGCGGAATTTGCTTTTGCATTTGGCAACGGGCAAGGAGAGCAGTTTCCAGGCTCTTGCTATTGAGTGGAGATGAAAGCATTGTACTCACACTTGGTTGGTCACAGTCAGACCCGTATCATGTGCTGCTTGAAGGGCAGCCAGCATGCCGGGGAAGACCTGGCTGGCCAAATGCTTGCCCAATTGCGAAGTGCAGCAGAGCATGTGTGTAGTGTCCAGGGCAGATAATGTATCCTCAGGCGTCATGTGCGTATGCTGTGTATGATAACGGACCGCCAGTACCACTGCAGTGTTGCAATTGTCTAGTCATTTCCACTTGTGCACATGCCGCGCTCTGAGACCTCTTGACCCGCGGTGGATGTAGTGCCCTTCAACAAAAGCTCCGTGGCAGATGCGGACATTCCGAAAGATTGCATAAGAGTATTGCACGTTTCCAAATGGTAGTGTGCACTTTCATTGGGCTCCAAGCCGGACCAATCAGATGGCACTAAAACACTTGCAATGGGTTCTGGCTGCCGTTCTACTGTTGATACCGCCACTCTTGGTGCTGCTAGCAGTTCGGGGTCCGGTGGATGGTGCTGGCGACCCTACACCTGGCTTTTGGGGTCCCAAAACTGCTTCTGTGAATTGGTGTGAAAGGGATTATGCAAGAACTTACTACATTGCGGAGCTTGCCAACTCAGTCACTTCTTTGTGCTTGGTGGCTACTGGAATTTATGGCTTCTGGGCCCATGTCAACTTGGTAGAGCCACGCTATCTCTTGGCGTTCTTCTCCATTGTGGTGATTGGCCTGGGCAGTTTCGCTTTCCACGCAACCTTGCTCCGCAGTATGCAGCTTTTGGATGAGGTTCCGATGGTGTGGGCAAACACTGTCTTCATTTACATTTGTCGTTGTATGTACGATGAAAGAGGCGGCTACAGGAAAGCAGAGGGTATGGCCCTTGCTTTTCTGACCGTTCTTGCCACCATGGCAATTGCAGTTCTTGACACCGACAACCAAAACATCTTCTTATTATGCTACGGTTCGGGCATACTCTACCTCGTGTGGCGTTCGTACCTGTTCTGTCGGGCATGCACAAGCTCCACTGCTTGGCTGCTTTTTACGGCTGCCATGTTGTCCTATGCTGGCGGATTCCTGCTCTGGCTTATTGATCGGAATTTTTGTCATTCAGTACGCTTCTTGTATCTACACGTGTTTTGGCACTTTGGCGCAGATTTGGGCACCTTTGCAGCTGTACTGCTGTGGATATGGGTTCGCTCTGAGGTTCTGAGCATGAAGGTCATCCTGCAAGGAAGCAGCCCCATCTCTTGGCGGATTGTTGCAGCATCGCCCGACTGACCTTTGAGTTCCATCTTAGATGTCGCTTAAAGCTAGCTTCATCAAAGAGAAAGTGAAACCCGTTCTGCTAAATCAGATTCTAAGCCTCAACTCAACTTCAGCTGATGCCAGCCACAGGTGCATCGGGAAGATTTGGGAATGGAATGTAGCGAATTTGTCGGATTGAGTGCTTCCCTTCAGCTCAAGAGATGTTTCAGGTAGCCACACAAACGCCACCAGGAGAACAGAGATTGCACATTTCATCCCAATTTGTTCTTTTGAAGCTCTGAAAACTTCCAGGTCAACCTTGCAATTCTGAACTATGCCAACCAAGCAGGAAGCCACAATAGCAACAAGTCCTCGCGACTAGTCGTCTGCAGGATCTGCAACACTTTGCGCCTTTGCGCATTGTACAGAATGGCTGATGATGCTGAGACGAGCCCGCTGTGCTCTGCGAGGGCTGAGACACCTGAGACTTCTTTGGAGCGAGAGCTTTTCCGGCTAAGCAGGCTAGCTAACTTCACTTCGGCCACAGGACGTGCAGACCTTTTCTTTTCAAACTCGCAGGCTTCTTGATGGCGTTTGTGGCCGACTTCTGGACGTCGAGAGGTGGGATGTCTCTGGAGCTGTTTGCAATTTGCAAATCAAGTGGTTTGCGGGGAGCCGAGCTGGAGGAGACTGTCCCACACCGAAGAGATCCAGCAGGCAGCGAGCGGGACGTGACAATGTGTAACCCTCGATCTCTGGCCTGTGCAGGCACATGTTAATAGTCGTTCGCAGGAAGTGCAGACCGTCTTGAAGAAGGCCTGAAGCACTTCGGTTGGGGTCAGACCAGATATCTTGCAAAATGTGCTCGCTATCAGCAGGTCCCTTGAAGGAAGTCCTGGGGGATGTTTCGCACTGGTTTTCAAGTCAGCATGCATCAGAGCAAGCAAGCGTTTACCATGAAAGCCGCGTCATTGGTCTGCCCCACGCTTGTGAGCAATGGATGCTGGGAATGAGATACGCGGCCAGTCCCTTGTTCCTGGCAAAGCTTCTGGGGAGGTCCACAATCTGCAGTACTTTTGTCTTGTAGTCAACGCCTAGAGAGGATCCGTGTTCAGGTGCTGATGTCCTCGGTTGGGCTCAGCTTTTGGGGCGGCGTGTCTCCCAAGACTGGTGATGTCATCGACCGGCACCACCCCCTGAACGGGCTCAGCCTGAAAGGCAAGATCTTGGCCTTGCCCAGTGGACGAGGCCACATGAGCTATAGTCTAAGCACCTTGAAGGGAGGTTATATAGGGGAGTATTATTAGGCTTATTACGGGGGATCCTAGGAGTTTAGACTGTAGCTCAGTTGCTCTTTTTCCAAGTCATCTGAGCATCAGCTACTGCCTGTAGGCTCCTGCACAGGCAGCCAGGTGACTTGGTGGCAGAGAGTGCAAACGACCTACGCCATAGATTGTCAAAGCTCTGGTTCGAATATCTCTAGTAGAGTCTTGCACAACATCAACTTAGACGTCCATGAGTTTTTGTCTGCTGAATATGTCCGGGTTCATGGTAGCCCCTCGTAGGGACAAGGGAATCTCACTGGCTCCTATGGTCAGAGGTCACCCTGCAGGGTTTTAGCAAACGCCTTCCAGGTGATATTGGAGCTTCTGCTCAACGGCAATGGGCCTGCAGCCATCGTTTTGCGAGAGCCGGATGAGATCATTGCGCTGGGTGCCATCGTCGCAGAAGAGATGTTCGACCTTCGACTGCCGCTGGTTTGCGTGGGAGATGCTCGCACTCAGACTTGGTGGTGCAGTGGTGGAATCTAGTTGGTAGAGTAGTTCCCGGTGTTCCCTCCAAGTTGGCTGTGGGGCCTTTATGACTTTGAGGACTCCGGATTTGCCCGCCTGCTCTCAGCGGAGCCGAAGTATGCTCATTTGGTAGAGGGCTGCGTGTTCCTGGGGGAGGAGCACAACGAGGCCATTCTAGCGAAGCCAGCCTCTGCAACTGGTGAGCCTGAGGCCTTTTGCCTGCAATGTGCCTTCTGAGCCTCACGCAGTACTGGCAGCAATGTCACATACGACCTTTTGAAAGCACATGCGAATGCTTGGTTGAGAGGTAACATTATGCGAAGCGGACCGACGGATGTTGGATGGGGTTCAAGGGCCTGCCAGGCAAGTTGCCATGCGCCCCTTGTCACTATAGCGCTACACAGAGTGGCTACGTGTCCTCTGAACCGAATGTGTTTTTGATTTTCGTCGTGCATCCTGTTAGACGCGTATGACCGCGAGGTATCATTTACCGCATGGCAGCGGTGCAGGGGACCAAAGAATTGATCAGCGTTAAACAGTCACACATTGATGGGTGCACGTATGTCGGCCCGGCAAGTCTTCACTTTGCAGAGCAGCTTCTTAGCATGGAGGCGCGAGTATGTATCCCAACCACCCTGAATGCCATCTCAGTGGATCGATCAAATTGGCGTGCGCTTGGAGTACCTGCAGAGTTGGGACGGCCTGCGGAAGCTCTTGCTAATGTCTACCTGGAGATGGGTGCCCAGCCCAGCTTCACATGTGCTCCTTACCTCCTGGAGACTGCTCCGCAACTGGGAGACCACATTGGATGGGGGGAATCCAATGCCGTCGTGTTTGCCAACAGCATTTTGGGAGCCCGCTGCTTTGCTTCCTAACGCCCATATTTGCATGCAGTTTGCAATCTTTTAGAACACCAGACAACATATCCTGTGCAAGGTTGCTTATCACGAAGATGATAACAAGCAAAGAACAGCATGGCCAAAATACTCATTCAGTTTCTTGCACGCATGTTTTCGAAGCAGGACTCAAGTCCCAATTATATCTCTGCGCACGAAGACGAAGACTGGTGTGTTGCTATCGTGGTCAAACTGCTGGGTGACTTTAGCCAACCGGATTTTCAAACCAAGATCTTGATCCATAAGAAACCTTCATTATTATTGGCTGGAACTGATGGACTAAATTCTAAACCCTATAATTTTATCGCTAGCGCGAGACCGCCTCGGTAAAGGTAGTCGAGGCTGCCCCATTAACCCACTCGACCTTCCTGCCCTCTCCCCGCCCTACCTCTCCCTTCCCCCCTTCAACCCCACCCCCCTGCCTGCTTGGACGCCAGACCCAGGAGCCTGGAGTTTGACTTCCAAGAAACCACGATCCCCCCCCCACCCTCCTGGGTTAAACTACTCCTAGTATCTGGCGCCCGGATCTAAACGACAGAGGCCTTCGGCCTCGGCGGATATGTCTATATATATAGATACACACACACACCTTTATATCCCTATAGACTTCCATATCCCGTCTAAGGGTTCTTAAGGAACTGAGAAGTATGCGGATTTTCTGGATGCCTGCGTTGCCCTCACGGGCCGGGCACCTCGAGCCGGCTGCCACTTGGACTCGCGGCGAAAGCCGGAAGTTCTGCTGTCACTGAACCCACAAGTGGATCCAGGCCAGGGAAGGTGTGCATAGTCCATGCAGCCTTATATCATCCCCATATACTTCTTATATTAAAGATTCTGATTCTTATGTCTGTGTGGTGGGTGAGGATGATCTTATCGGTATCCGCTGAACTGCTGTGCAGCATGTCCTTTGAAACCATAAAGATGTTCCAGGAAAATGTTGGCAAACCTCGCGTGGGGCAAGCATCAAGCTTTTGGGTGTACGAGCGCGCGCATGTTTCAATCTGGCATGTCAACTAGATTCTCTTCCGGAAGCAGGGCAAGCAGAGCAAAGGGGGATGCAAGAAGGAGAGGCAGAAGATGTGCTAGCTGAAGAGGAGTAAGAGGAGTAGAGCGCAACCAGAAAACAGCTGCACATGGATTGGAAGGCAGCGTTGACGATGCCTTCTATCCCACCCTGGGCTACCTTTGTGGCCTGAAATCACCCAGCTCAGTGCCGGCAATTACGGGCTTGGAAAGCTTGTCGCCGACGCGGGATGACTTGAAGGCCAGTTTGCGGATGAAGTTTGAACGATCACAGCTTAGCATGCTTCGCTTGGAGGCCTTCAGCGCGGCCTTCGGCACCAGCTCCTCTGCAGCCATGTTCCACTTGGTGGGCATCACGCCCGAGGTAAGGGTGCTTCACGACGTCTTCAGTTCTGCTTCCCATGCCCTCAGGCGCCTGACCTACGAAGAACTACGGATGAGCAGCTTGAGGCGGAAAACAGACCCTGGGAGCGGCTTGCTCGTAGCTGTACTAGTGCTCCTAGTGCTCGTACCTTGTTGAAGCCCGAAAGCAGGTGCTTGAGCTGAGCATCGACGACCTGCTGGCTGCGTGGCACGATCTGGCCGCTTCACAGCAGATCCTTTCACAATCCTTTTTTTCTGCTGCCCCATAGTCTCAGCAAGATCAGGATGCAGATCCCGACGGGTTGATCGACCTTGTCGCACTCGGCAATCCACATTTCTCCCTGGAGGAGTATCGGCGGATGGCTGAGTTGTGCCAGGGACGCAAGAAACATCCGGCCGTCGCAGTGGTGGTGACCTCTGGCCCGCAGGCACCTGCTAGTACCCCTATGGTAGCAATATGCAGCAATGGTGAATGACAATTGTTAGGGTTTTGGTAGGGTCCCTGCATTTCGTAATGACGCAGGTTCTGGCCAAAGCAAGAGAGAGAGGATACCTGGCGAGCCTGGAAGCTTTTGGAGTTCAACTGGTGAGCGACACCTGCTGGTGCATGCTGGGAGAGGTTGCCAGTTCAGACTTGGGGATTTTATGTGCCCTGAAGGGCACTGGACACTTAGGGTGCCAAAGTACTTGTGTCAGCAGTGTTAGAACTGACCGCAGGTGGTGCCAGCACCCACATCAGTGCTGCCGCCAGCCAGTCGAGCTCTCATGACCAACTCAGCCAAATATGCGCACTATGCTCCAGGTTTCTAAGCTGGACAGAGGATAGCCGTTTGAAGTTGAAAAAGTGTGCTGAAGCAGTTGAGAAATTGAGGGACTTTGGTGCCAGGCCTGGTTGGTCGCAAGGTTCGCTTCGGTTCGCTGGCTGCCTGCGTTGATGCCGCCTGCTCGCGCACAGTCAGTGCTGCGAAGCCCGCATGGCTAAGACCAGCAGGACCAGATGCAGCACTCTAGAGTGGCACCAAGTTCAGGCATGCCTAACACCACTATTGCAGGACTGCAGGCCAGAGCGGTGTCACAACTGGCAACTCGCAACGCTTGCGCCAGATCATGCTCCATCTACCGGGCAGCCAGCCGAATCGTGCGGAGGAGATGAAAATTTGCCGTGTCTTGGGACGGGGGCGCTGGTATGAGTCACAGTTGCTTCAATCATGTGGGCTTCTGCTTAAACTTTAGATGTGTGACACAGATTCCACGCATGCGGCTAGCTGGTGCTAACATAGATGGGGCCTGTGGGCCAGGTCCCTCACGACAGCTGGTTGAGAGAAGCTGCGGCCTTGACTCAAATCTGCTGATTTGGCCTCAACCCCTCGTTTCATATGCTTGTCACTTGCTCAGGCGGAGGCACGCCACGAGGAAGTCTCCCAATCATGCATGCAAGTGCAAGAGCAGGCTTGAGGGAGCAGTGCGTGCTTAGCTTGCAGCGCCTGGTTTCCTTTCAGTCGGCCTAGCTCTCCAAAGATAAGCAGTGGCAGTTTGAGAGGTTCACGCGCTTGTGGACTTCTTGGCGCAGGAGAGCTTTGGAGAGATCTGAGTCAGCAGCACTCGAGCGCGGAACAGGAGCACATCCGGCTGCAGCAGCCACAAGGCGTGGGAGACCCAGAAGATGCAGGCCTGGTTTTCAACAGTTTCGTGAGGCAAAGGTGATGGCCTCGCGGACAAGGAGAAGGACCCAGACTCAGAGTTCAATTTAGACAGCGGCAGTCTCGCCGTAAATCTGGTGTTGCACATGCAGTAGCAGCTGATCTTCTGTCATCCTCTCTCAATTAAATTCTGTATGCTTGCGCAGTACAGTGTTTCTGAGCAATATGAGACTCTTTGAAAGAGCCTTCGCCCTCCTGCATTCGTCTTGATGTCCTGATGAGATGCCCCGGGTCTGGTGCTGCGGTATTTGGTCTTCATGCTGCTGCAGGAGATCTCCAACCCGGAGCTGCGCGTGCAATCGCCTCTGACATGCTGAATTCCACGAGATCATGCCACAAGTGTGTGTAAGCTTTCGTGGGTCCTTGAATGCCGAGTCCCTCAGAGACAATTGTGGGCCGTGGGCCGGATCCACTCGCAGTGGCACAGTTGGCACAGCGTGCTTCGGACTCGGCATATGGAAGAGTTTCCTTATTGGTTGCAGTGCAAGGTGTGCAAACTGTCTTGTCGAGGCGGAGGACCCATTGCTCAGCGAGAGGCTGCGTCGAATTTTCAGCCAGATTCCAAGCTGCGAAAGACTCATGCAGGGACTGGGCTTTGAATTGGAAATCAAATTTGTAGAAGTACGAGGTAAGATCACTCAGTCTCCAAAATTTCCCTGGCTATAGGAGGTTGAGTGAGGTTGTCACCTCAAGTGACCTGCAGTCAGGCCCACCCTCACGCGGGAACTCCGTGGACAGCCCTCCACGGGAGGATTTCGTGATCGCCACGAGTGCCTGCAAGCGAGGAGCATTGGAGCTCATAGAGTTTATGCGGTTGGAATACGTGGCTTTTGCTGTTGTGCGACAGGAGCCGGCGGCACCTCCGACCAGCGGCGTGTTCTGAAGGTCGTCAAGGTGTGTGGGGTGAGTTGTGGCGATCATGGTTCCAAAATACACAGCTGCTTTTCAAAAAGCGCAGATGCATTGTAGTTCGTGGCAACAAAGAACCGCGGTGGCAAACTGTAGCTGGCAAGGTGGCTCCGCCGACCGTTCTAGAGGGCGATGGTGCTACCACGCCACCCGCAGCCCAGGCTGAGTTATGCAAAGATGGAATGCTACCCCAGCATGATTTCAGCTTTGCCACATGAGAGGCTGCAGAAGGAAGCCAAGCAGGCGGTGACCTAGGGAAAACCGTGCCCAGGAGCCCAACAATGCTCGCGTGCTCCCACAGCTGCAGGCAGTGCTTTGTCGACGGGCCTGTGCCAACGATCTGCTTCAAAGGGATCAGTAACCCCAGGCCTGGGCGGAGCACAAAAAGTTGTCCTTGTGCTAGCCAGAAGGTTGGTGTCATCGCTAGCAGCTAGTGAAGTGACCACAGCTTCCTGCGGCAGCTGCTGCTGCTGCTGGCGTTTGCATAGCACCTGCCACAACTTACACAAGGAACATAATGACCACCACGATCACCTCAACCGCCACAAGCGCCACGACCACGACGACCAAGACCACCACCACCTTGTCGAAGGGGGCTTGAAGGGAGACTTCAAGCGGGTGCTTCATGGAAACGGGTGAATTGTAGCTAACTACAGATCTTCCAGAGCCGAGGAATTCATGCCCCGCGTAGCCTTGCCAAAGCAAGGAAAAAATATTGATGTCGATGTTGAAATCTTATTCCTGTAGACCCCAAGACAGAAAAGAAAGACAAGGTAATTTCAGTAATTTCTAATTTACATTTCACCAAAGTGTTTCCATAGCAAACGAAAGGATGATTCAAACTTTAAAGGTCTCTTTCTTAAGCCCGCTTTGAAGTCCCTTCAAAGCACCCTTGGCTTCGAATTCAGAAGCCCCCCCTTCTCAAGCCCCGCTTGAAGTGCCTAAGAAACGAGACTATGACAAAGAAAAGGGTAGGTTGAAGCCGTTGCATCACTTTTGGTGTGCTCCGTGCATACTAGAGGCAGTAGGAAGGTCGAGTTTTGAAGAGTGCATTGTTGTGCTGGTCAGACAGACTGTAAAATTGAAATTCAGCTAAAATGTTAGCTTTCAAGGCTTCAGATCACCTGCTAGACATTTTGAAGAGCATGGATTGTCTTGACAAATCGAAATCGCTGGACATTGACTTGGCAACAGTTATATCCAGCACACTCAAATCAAATTGAGCATGAAGCCAGGTAGAACTTGAGCAGAGGGATGCTTCAGCCTACTTCAAGCCTTTTCGAGATGCACAACCATGGACCACAACAACCACTGGGACCATCATTTGCTCATGTAGGCGTCAGCCATGCATCTGACTCCCGGCACATTGCTGTTTGGTTGTGGTGACAACTACTCTGACCACCAGGGCATTCTTCTTGCAACTGGCCAGACGACTACATCTGTGTGTGAGAGCATCCACTAACTGGGGCATCCATGCTTGGTCAAAGAATACGTCCGCTTAAGAGCGCATTCGATCATCAGAGAATCGCGCCTACCAGACTTGCGACGACAACCAAAATGACAATGAATGACATAGATCATGACCAACAACTGATAGGCAAGTGAAAGCGAAGACAACCAAGACAAGTGACATGACTCGTAGACTCGTATCATCAAGTGTTGTGGCTTTGGCCAGGTGCAGGCATCCCAGCCACGGCGCCGGCGACTCCGACAGCTTCGCCGGTTGTCGAGGGTCGCCGTCTCAAGAAGAGGTCCTCCGTCCACTGCTTTCAGTTCTTGGTGGCAGGTCTGGTGGCAAACGCTCCGTTGGCCGTGCTTGATTGGGACTTGCTCCCCGGGTTGCTGTGAAGATGCTGTTAAACCAGCTCTGAACATGGAACCAGCTTTTGTGGTGCTCGCTTCTGAATACTGCGGCTGTCCTCGGCCTGAACTACCCCGGCTTTCTTTTTGGGAATCTGAACTTGCATGTGGTCAAAGGCAGCCCGCAGCAGGCAGCATGGCATCCAACGTCACATCCCAGGCAATTGCCAACACACCTAGTTCGTTCAGAAGCTGGAATCATGACATACACTCAGCGTAGATACCTCTTCTCCTGTTCAAGAATAGCATCCTTCAGCATTGCCTGACGGAAGTTCTTCGTCGTTTGCGACCAGCTCAGCAGTCATCTCCGCATGGCCCAATGCTCACAATGCTTTAAGCTTTTTGACGGCCCGTGTCGAAAAACGTCGGTGCAACGTAGCCGTTTAGGCTGTGAGGCACAGTAAGTGTCAAGGCAAGTGGGTTTGTACCAGCCAGTGATTAGTTCGCGATGGGAAACTGCTTTCAAGGAACGGCTCCCAATAGCAACGGCCCCTGCGTCACCGAGCAGGATGTTCGCGCCGCACAGGCAGCATGGGCAACCGCCATTAAGACCATCACCAAAACGTATTTGGACAAGGGAGACTATGTCGCAGCTGCAGCTAAAGCCGCAGGCGAGCTGTACTGCTATGGACACGGACAAGTGCTCTTCAAGCCAACCAAGGCCAAGGATGTTCAGTTCCGTCCCATGGCTCAGCAGGCCATGTCCTACTTTGTGGGGCACAAGGCAGTGGATGATGGAATTCCTGAGGATGCCGGCTTCGCCATCAATGGCGGCAAGGGCTGGTCAGAGGTTGTCTTTGACAACCACCAGATCGACTGCCATGGCAATGTGGCGATCGCCATGGGAAATTATTTCTTTACGTCTGCAGCAGATGGCAGCAAAACCAAGGTAGAGTATACATTCGGCTACAAGACTCTTTGTCATTACCTTGATGAACTTTTGTGTTTTTTTTGTACTTAGGGTCCGCGTGTTTTTGTGAACGGTCAAAGTTTGACTGTCTGGGGCATTGGGAAAGTGAGGATGTGTCCGGATGGGAAAGTACGAATCTGCCTCCACCACTCGTCGGTGCCTTTTCAGGGCTGATCGCGTGCTGTGCTCGCGCCACTTTGTGGCTCCGTTTTCATTTCTCCAGGTTTGCAGTTGAAGAATTATTCTGTACAGCATGTGGCCCTTGTGGGCACTGAGGGGTGACGTTGCGGGTCAGGTTAGTAAGGTAGCAGAGCAGCTCCACGACTTGGCTCCCCTGAGACTCATGGATGGCTTTGGTTTCGGGCATCAAGCCCCGGCGTGCTGCATCCCGCAAGCGAAAAATGGTGCTTCTCTGAGCATGGCCCTAGGGTGTTTGGAATGCAATATCTTCCAGCTGGTTGTTTCGCAATTTCATGCCAGGCAAACCACTGCGTGGGCGTCGGTCTGAGTTGCTCCGTCAATTTCCGCGAAGCAAATGCAAAACTATGGCAAACACCTTGCATGCAAGGTGCAAAGGGCTGTCACCGGGGGCCGCACCACCCCTACAGCCCCTGTGTCGAGGCACTTGAGTGCAGGCTGGCAGAATGAAGCAGCGCTGGGTGGTACAAATAGCATGATCCGCCCGTGAGACAACTCCAAACAGCGCGATGCTTTTCGGACAATGCTGAGCCAGGAACTCCAGGTGTGTCTGCCGCGCCTCAATTCAGACGTCTACCGTCCGAGACTTGTGAGCTTTAGTGCACGTGTTTGATGTCCATGTCCAGTTGCCCTTGGCGAGAGTCTTCAAAGAAGCTCAGGATGTATGCGGTGAGCACGCCCATAGTGGCTGTGGCCACGGGCTCGTCACAACGAAGCCAGTCAATTTGGCAGCATGTTCGCCTGATGAGAGACTCAGGCCTCTACGACGCAGCATACGCAACATACGCAACCACCCATGAGATGTCGGGCGCTTGGTGGCTGTAAGCCAGGGAGTTGTATGACCTGTGCAAGTTCTGCGGCTGCAGGCCAGCGGATGTCGACTCCCAATGCCGCGCCAGACCTGCAAGAGTTGAGTTGGTGATAGTGTCATATTCATGGCTGAACTGAAGCCTGTCTGCGGGAAATGCGGGTAGTGAACAAACCTGTTGTCACGGCAGGCTGCAGCCTCGAAGCAACATAGCCAGTGCACCGGCTCCTTCCCTGCAGGCATGCGCCAAAAAATGCGAAATTGGTCCCTTGTGTCGTGGATTGCTGCCAGGTGAAAAGGGACCCAAGGTTGTCACAGACGGGCCAAAGTGTCATGCCCGCCCAGGCAGTAACCTTCCAGAGTTTGGACAGATGCAGCAAGAGACTATTTTGATCCTGTGAGAGGTGCCCCAGCCCTTGCCGCTGCCTCCTGGCTCAACTGGCGGGGTCCTCATCGACTTGCCCTCAAGGCCAAGTTGTCCCAGCACCTGCTGTTCTATGGGCTGAGGTCCCCGAGCGCAGTACGACCTGTAGCTTGCGCCTCAGACTTCTCCAAGAAGGGAGAGTTCAATGGAGCATAAAACGTGGCAACAAGGCAAGACTATTACAGCTCCTTAATTCAAAGTCAGAGATACACCTCAAAGGCACCTTCCTGCACCTTGTGGAAAAAGTAATCCCCAGCGATCCCTAACGCATACAGCTGACCAGGGGTTCAGGGGGGGGAATGGCTCAGTGTGCTCGAATATGGTATTTTCTTTGACTTTTCTGTGCCAGGGTGTTCTGCTTCCAACGGCAAGAGCCGTCGTGGCATATCAAAGCCCAACGCGGGTGTGGGGGAGATCTCAGGGGTGCCTCATCACCCGCGCGAAAGAAAGAAGTAAGGAAAGAACCTAAACAAGAAAGAAAGAGCGCACTCCGTTAAGGAGTGCGATTTGTAGAAGAAGGAGAGGGCAGCACAGGATATACAACAAAAAGAATACCGAGAGCAAGAAGTCGAAGAAGTAGAAGAAGAAGAAGGAGCAGACGAGAGAGACTGTTTGAGCGAATCAGTTTCGCAAACTAGGTAGAGCAGGGAGTAAGGGAGTCCAGCAGCCATGGAGTAGTTTCAGAAATGAGTCGGTTGCCTTCCGAGCTTCTGGCAACAGCCCCTTTGTTCAGCACTCCAGGCCCCCCTGGTTGACTTGGACAGGACGCATCTGTGAGGGCTTGGGGCACAGCTGCGGCTCTAGAGTCCTGCATAGAGCAGACTTTTTGACCTGGCAGCGCTGTACTTTTGCGCGGGGAACCCGTTTTGAGTGGAGCCCCGAACTGAGTTGCGCTTTCGGAGGCGCGCCTGCATGCAGTCATGAAATGGAGCCGCACATAAGCCTGGGGAAAGCTGCCTTGCAGCTCACGTACAGCTGTGTCACGTGACCACTGCAAACAGGGAACCGGGGTCCTACGAAAGAGTAAGTGGTTACTTTGGAGCCAGTAATGTGATAATTTAAGTTGCGCGGAGCCAGCTGTGGAAGGGGAGAGGGCATGTCATCCCCAATCACCAAGCAGACCGCACGATTTTTCGCTTTCAATTCGCAATGTGCGGGCACAGCACAGGGGCACGTCCTTTGGGCCCAGCCTTGAGGCGGATCAACGCATCGCCAAGAAGTTTCCAACCCGTCCGGCCTAGCAAACATACCAGCTGATCTAAACCGCAGAAAGGTGCCCAGCAGGCAACGGCCAAAACTAAGAGAAAAGTTGGAACACATTCCAGCTCTTCACGTTCCGCTACTTCAGCCTACTTCGAGACCAACATCGCTGCAGATGCGAAGACACCTGGTCAACGAATGCATCCTCAAATATCGACACAAGCAAAATGCTTCAGGTCCGACAGGAAAGCAGCAGTGGATCTCCACAACATACAGGTACTATTCAGACACGTCAAGCGATGGTGTCAGAGACGGCGTGTCGGGAGGGCGCAATAACTGCAAGGACCCCAACAGGAAACAGCTGTTTGCACAGAAGCACAAGCAAGGCGCCGCTGAGCCTGTGTTCTAGTTGAGAGTAAGGCAAGCTCTGAGATCTCTGCAGATCTCTGCAGGTTGAACATCTGAATTGATTTGGGATCACTTTGGGTTGCCTTTGTAGACCACACCGCTGGTTCTAAATGCTCACCTAGTGTGTGACAGACAGAAGCGTCCTGCCGAGGTTCAGCATGAGGAACGTGACCGCGACCGCAAGGAAAAGACGGAGACGCCGAAGCAAATTTCCCTGTACTGGAGAGGCCTTGAAAGCTAGTCGTGACGGCGTTGCATCCTTGTCTGATGCTCTTATGCGTTGACGTGTTTCACCCAAGATTTTAAACAGACAAAGCCTGTTATTGGGAGGATGCTTCTTGGCCTTGTACGAGCAGTTTGGGTGGCGCGCGAATCGAGATCATTTCCAGGAATTCAGATCTAGACAGCAAAGGGTGACTGGTTCCATATCATTTGGGACGTCGCATGCAGGAAAATTTCCGTATCGCCCATCTCAACTGCAAGGTCGACATCTTGTGTCCATTCAGATTTTGAAGCATACAGTTGCCCCGCTTTGCCCGCACGTCGAACACTGCAAGTCCAGGCAAGTTGCTGATTGTAATAAATTGCAGAACCCACTTTTCAATCCAGCATGATCTGCAGGCTTGTAGTGGTTTTCAAGTGATTGCTGCAATCGTGCGAGCCCGATGCCGCTTGGGACCAGCGGCGTTTTCCGGAACCTCTGCCTTCGAGATGCCCTCGAAGATCGACTTTGGCTCGCTGCTCCGCTTGATACCCTTTGGTGCTGTATGCAGACCTGCAGACGGCAAAGCGGGACAGCTTGGTTTACGAGCATAACATGCAAGAACAAGAAATCTGAGGTTGTGGGCGTTTTCATCCTACTATTCCTGCTGGTGTTTCTCATGCCTTCTTCCGAGAAGGCAGATTCTATCTCATTTGCCGTAGATGCAGATGCTGCCTCTCCGTTTCTGTCCGAATTCATGCCTTGTCAGGCCCGGCGCAGACAGGACCGGGCTTTGGCCAATGCTCGAGGCGATCGCAGCGCAGCCAGTTCCGTGAGGTCTGTGGCACCCAAGGCAAGTGAGTGCTTTAAGGAATGGGAGGCGAAGGGCAAAAGGTCAAAGCACCTGTGAGAATCTGCCACCTGCACAAGGCCACAAGAGCAAAGGGGAGACGGTGACGCCCAAGAAGTCGCAGAATGATGCAGAATGTGCACAGCCCGGAGCAGCGAGAAAGGGCCGAGCGCAGCCTCTCTGTACTGCGATCGCCTGCAAGCTGTGAAGCTGAAGCGGATCCTGGTCTGTTGGCTTCGCGGCGGCGAGAAATTGCGAGGCTGACCAGACCCCGATGAGGCAGCCAGGATGGGTGACATCCTTTCAAAAAGGCAAAGTGTGCCCGCGGTGGGTCCGGAGTTGTTGCCATAACTAGTTAGTGGTGCAGCAGTATTAATATGACCCACAAAGCAGCCCAAAGTTTGAAAGCTCACCAGATGGTGGGCTTCAGCAACCGTTCAAGGCTTGACAAGGTACTGCAAGTGTTCCAAGATAGATGTGACCTTGCCTATTTGAAGTATACTAGCTTACGCGGTGTTTTGCAGTCATACTGTGTGTTTTGCCGGTCTTGGACGATGACTCGACATGCTCGGTTTTGGCTCTTTGGGAGCCCGAAGCAATGTCGGGGCCGTGCGGGTCCTGAGGCCTGGGTTTGTGGGCAAAACAAAGGTTAAAAACTTTTAGTATATTATGGTATTGGAATAATATTGAGATAATGGAAAAAAACATGGAAACTACTACATTATCCACTGGCTTTCACTGGCTTTCAACGCAATCTGCCAGGCTGGCTCATGGCAGCCCAGGACACCGAGACATGAGATTTGTGAGCCATGCCTTAGGAGGACCCCCCACCCTGTAATAGTGCTATAATATGAACAGGAATATAAGAGGACCCAAATATAATCCTCATTACCCCGTATAGTCACTATTAGAGGGTGGCGGGTTCCACCTAAATCTGTGAACCATGCGGTTATAGTGAAGAATCTTCGGCCAGGATTCGGAGCGAAAAGGTTCTTGTTGTTGTGGGCAAGTCCGGCCTGGTGTTGATACTCGTACTACTCTTATTACTATGATTTGTTTTTATTGCCATCATTTCTATTATTAAGATAATGTTTACTATCATTACAATTATTGCTATCACTACATCACTACTACTATTATTCTTATTGTTATTGCATTACTGTTATTACTGTCATTGCTCTTTCTACTGTTCCGGACTTTGATGTGCTCGAAGCAATTCGTTTTAATCCGTGGCCAGGCTGCGTGGCTCGCAGAGGAGGAAACGATGGCTTCAGAGAAGACTACGATCTTATCAGCCAATACCCAGTCCAGGTGCTTGCGGGTCAAATTTCACAGAGCCTGGTGCTGCCTTGGGTAAACATTCTACGGATTTGCAGACAAAATTCCAAAGTGTTTGGAAGCAGGTAAGGCAGAAAGCTTGCGGAATCAGCGCACGTATGGAAACAAGCTTGGAAGCAAGCTTCTCTGACAGCGATGGTATGCCGTGTGCAGGTGTTGTCCTGACAATATACATCGTAGCTGGCTGCTGCTTCTTAGTGCGGCGAACTCAGTTGAGTTCTCTTTAACTTTCAAGCGGTGTTGCATACTTCTGAGGCTTGGAGTCGTACTTTACTTAACAAACGAGGCAGGTTGTGTAGTTGTGACGAGGATGCAGATGTGGGATTCTTGCGAGCGGGCAGGGAGTTGTAGAGTTAAACTACGACTACACGGACGACCCGGTCGACGCAAACGGCGTAGGCAACAGTGGAAATCAAAGCGTCAGATTTGCGCTGTTCCAGTTGTGGCACCCGGAGAGTGCAAACTACGTCAGAGTACAGTTTGCAGTCGGAAAGCATTGCCACTTGATTGCCAGTTTCATTCGAGCTTAATGTGGACAGTGATATGAGCGCACCCATATGGGCGCGGCCCTCAGGCCTCCTTTGGCAGGACTCAGTCAGAAGCCTGAATCACAAGCTGAGAGTCCAGGTCTACTACCAGCTGTCTGGATTTCACCAGAATCACCGGATGTACGTCGAAAATCGGGTGCGACCCAGCCTGTGATTGTCCTGCCGTTCTGCCAGATGGGGCACACAACAAGTGACAGGATGATACGCAGCTGATGAGCCCTGAGCTTGCCAGTGGCATGGTGGCTCCCGAGGCGAGGCACCAAAAGGACAAACGCCTGCAGACATCAAGCAATGGGCAGGGAATGGCCAGTAAGTCTCAACAAGGACTGCAGAAGTTGAGCGCACTAAAGCACATCCTTTCTGATTCGAGGCTTGCGTTCCCCGGGCCGAGACCGATGGCCGTCGCGCTGGCTTGACTTCGGAACGTAGCTCGGGTTCTGCGATGTGACCCGGCCAGGCACGAACTACCCGTGTGGCATGATAGCATGGACAGTTCATGCCTCAACACTGACATGGGCCGAGACGCAACGCACGGCCCCAACTGCCTTTCAACGAATCAGGTCTTCAATGACAGTTTCGCCATTATGGAGCAAACTGCAACCGTCGAGCAGCGAGTGGAGGTGGCAACTGTGTGACACCAAGGGGTCTGCCACATGATACGACATGGGCAGAATGGGCAGATTTGCAGGTCGACAGCTCTGCAAGATCCATTGCTTGGGCTGGCGATGTTACTCGCTTTAGCAACCTGGATCCGGAGGTTCCCCTGCATTTCTGTATGGATGCCGGCGGCTGAGTGTAGCTGCTGGTCACTTCCCTGCAACAGGCCGAAAACCGGCTTAAGCTGGGCATGCAGAATCAGCTGGCGACCTAGTTCAGAAATGCTGCGACGATCCTGCAAGCATGCGCATGCGCCATCAGGCATGCCCTGAACATGTGGATGTTGAGCTACTTCCCACCGGTGGAGTGCTACCAGGCGTGCGGTGCCAGGTGCCAAGCCAGATGCCACAGCTGCCAAAGCTACCTTGGTCAGGTCCAAGCAGGGCCAGACAAGCAGTTTGTCCCTGTGGAGGTGGCAACCAGGACAGTTTTGCCTGTCAGCTTCCACTCTTTGGGCGTCTGTTGCTGAAGTTAAAGGGTTCCACAAATCCACCTGGAGGATAGATGATGCAGACGGGTCAGCTACCCTAATTTTTCTTGGAATTCACTTTCCACAAGCTTCCAGTCGATTTTCAACTTGCTGTCTCAGGTCCCCAAGGGAAGTTCCCGACTGCCAGGGGTACATGACAGGCATTGAGGGAGCCAGAAAGAGGTGTAGAAATTGACTGAAAGTTTTGCTTCAGGGCATGCCTCACACATGTGAGGCAACATTGCTGCAGAAGCTTATGCGCAGACCCGAACGTTTGCAGGTGCAGCTTCCTGCAATTTCGCTAGAGGGAATGAATCCTTCTCTTGCACTGGGGATGACTACGTCATCCGCAAAGTGGAGGACAGTCATGTTGGCCTCATGATTAATTTGCCTTGACGGACGGCATCGCCTGCTGTAGCACGGGCAGGACTGGGGGATTGCTAGCGGCCACTTCCTGGTGTTGGACGCCTACCACACTGCGCAAGACACACAGCGACGAAAAATGCCAGATGCATGAGGTGGATGAGGACGTCAGCTCTCCCTACCTTCAGGAAGGTGTGGGGAAGAGTGGCAACCCTAGATGCACTAGTTTCACTAGTTGTTAGGTCTGCCTACTCCCTGTTTTATTCTCCCAGCATTCTCAAGCTTGCATTGCCACGGTGCCGCTTCTAGTGCACGAAGACAGCTTCAAGAACTGTCAACGAAGTGCAGTTGCCTAACGGGCGGTGAACATGCCTTCCATCAGATGCTTCTCCAATTAGTGGATTTCATGGCTTACTCTCCGCTCTGCTCAGTTCTCATAGGCAGCAGAAATGCAATCCCAGTTAGCCCCAGATCCGCTTTGGGCCTGCAAGGTGGACAGAGACATCAAAGCCGGCACCAGGCGCTTGACATCTTTTGGGTAGAGTGCTGTATGTTGATCAGACAGGCAAATTTGAAGTCAGGGTAGTATGATCATTGTTGAAGTTTTGGTCCAGCTTCCTTGCCATGTAACTGTACTGAGTCAGCTCTTTCTCAATCATTCTGCAGGTTGAAAATCTACGTGGTGCACAGATTTCCTGTCCGTGAATACTATGGACGGAAGGCGGGCCATGTAGAAGTCATGTCAGAATCGGCAAGTTCTGGACATCACAAGCCCTCTGTCTCCTTAGGGCTCTTTTTCTTTTTTTTTTTTTGAGTTTTT